ATATATATATATATATATATATATATATATATATATATATATATATATATATATATATATATATAATGCACAAAGAGCACTTGACAGGGTAGCAAGTTCTGTCGCTCCGTTCGGCATGCGCTTTACACCTTCAAAGTGCAAAGTGATGCTGCAAGACTGGATGTCACCGAGTTCTGTTCTGAACTAGATAGTCAGGACTCAGCTGGAGTTGACTGCTTCTCGTACTTAGGTAGCTGCGCGGCCAACGATGGTAGCGCATCAAAGGAGATAATCTCCCGCATTTACAATGCTCGCGCAGCTTACGTAGGACTGAAACACCTGTGGCGTCGACGTGCCGTTTCACCGAAGCTGAAAAGTCGTGTATACTACGCCGCTGTTCGATCAGTTTTACTTCACCCTTGTGAGACCTTGAATCTGCGGGTAGAAGCCAACCGTCGCCTAGAGGTTTTCGACAATTGATGATTACGTAGTCTGGCCCAGATTGAATGCAGTGAACGGGTTAGTAACTCAGAAGTTAGTCGTCTGGTGTTTGGGAATGCATCAAATGCATTGAATTTAGGTCAATAGGCTCCGCTGGTTAGGACACGTTTGGCTTATGTCCGACGGTCACAACGCAGCGCGTCTTATTTTTAGTGGCTGTTGCAGGCTGAAGAAAGCCACGTTGAGACCAGCAGATGACGTGGAGATGTGACACGAAGAAATTCACAGTGATTAGGTAGAGTAGATGTCTCTCGTCTTCCGGGTTGGGGTCCAAAAGACTCCGAAACCGCATGGTTGGAGACGCTGAAGGTCATGGATGCGTACCGACAGCAATGACGATCTTACTGTCACTTCTTATCAGACCAGAATGCTTGAAAATATGTGTATACCCAGTTGAACTGTGTACTCTGTGTGAAGTTCAACTCACTGTATTACGCTGTACAGTGATGATGATGATGAGGAGGAGGAGGAGGCTGACGAGATACAACAGGAACTTCGAGGGAAACGAATTTGGTCAAACACAATACCTTGTGGACGGAGCGAGCACAATTCAAAATTCGGGCTTAACTGCTGGGAATTGTCCCAATAGTCATGTTCGTTTAGTTGGTCAGGTGCCAAACAGAGTAAGCACAGGAAGAGGAATGTAAAAAAATTCAATTGCGTTAGACATGTCTTGCTCTGGTTTCTTTCGATAGATTTTTAACCCGCATCCATACACGCATTATGTTCGTTGTGAATATCAGTTAAAATTGTTTTATTCTCTGTCCCCTTATACCACATTAAACATTTGAATTTGATTTGTTTTTTTCAGATATGGGTCGCTTTACGATAGCCGCGAAGCATCACATGACCATAGCCGAGATCTACGAAACCGTGTTGGGCGATATGAATGAAGCGGTACGACACTACGAACAAGCCGCGGACTACTACAAAGGTGAAGAGTCAAACAGTTCCGCGATGAAGTGTCAACTGATGGTTGCTCAACTATCCGCACAAGCTGGTCAATATGACAAGGCTGCGCACATTTTTGAGGAGGCAAGTTTCTTCCTGTGAATTCCCCATAGAAACGCTGGTTCCAGTCATAAAACTCGTCGTGGTTTGGAACGGATTCCGTGCAAATTCAGTTGTTGTTGTTGGTGGTGGTGGTGGTGTTGGATACTATCAGGTCGTCAACCTTGCTCGCACATGTATTAGATGGTAACAGGTTTGAGAGATTTAGCCAAACATTTAATGCTTCTCGTGGTCCGTAGTGCTTAATAATAAAACGAGCGCAATGTAAACAGCGAATCTTCTGGATATCGTGTTAGTCCCTCTCCGTATTGAATCGCGAACTATATAGGTCGGAGTCCAAGAGTCGCCTGTGAGAGGAGTGCAATATTCCTGTTGAGGAGGCAACATTCTGTACCAATACCACAGGGTCTTCCTGATTCATTTCGGGCTTTGAGCTCAATAGTCTTACCAAACAGTCAATAAGACCTCCCGTTTTAAATAGTGTCATGACTGGTGCGTTTCGAAAGGAGATTGCCATGCTCTGGAAAACTCCTTTGATCGTTTTGGTGCATGTTTGATCGCCTACTTCAGCATTTTCAAAACAAATGACGCGTCTTTCTTAGCTCTCGTGAATTGCGAGAGAAAACAGAGAAAGAAAGAGATAGTGGATCAAGTCTGGTAGTGGCTAATTAATGTTTCAAATCATTCTTTTTTTCATTACACACTTTCGTGTGATGAACAGGTGGCGGGGTAAACCCTATAGTCACGTGGACCTACTGTTCAGTGATGGAAACCGGTAACCCAGGCCCCCGGGACTTGGAGTGGGGCAAACCACATAAGGCCCCGATAGGTTAGGTGTGGTATTGAACCGGACGACAGCAAAGCTGCCTACCACCAAAATCGGGTGATGATCGTGGGTCATAGGGTCATCATAGGGTCCAAAGCACACCCGTGACAGCGACTAAATCATAAACTATACAGTGTCTATCACAGTTATTGTTGTTGGGTTTTTTTGGTCTGTGATGATTCTTACCTCCGGTTTCCAGTATCAGGTCACATCAAATCAAGTTTTATGCACCCAGTAGGATGGATTTTCGGCACTTTCGACAAGTCGCAGTGAAGAAAACGTTAAACACTGAAACAAACCTTAAACGTTTATTGCATAAAACATAAATGGATGTGATAAAAAGCTAGTGTGGCACGTGATTTTCCAGGTCAGTGATGATAGTTACTCAATTTAGTAAGATGCCAGCAAAATAAGCAATGATGCTTTTTCGGTATGTGATGGCACGTGCACGAAGAATCCTAAATTTGTGACGCCTACTCCGACAGTTGCTAAAGCGTTGTCATGCTTACCATAAACCAACAATCACTGTGTTCCTAGACGTTTGCGCGGCCTTCGATTTTGTCGATAGGACCGCACTGTGGAACCGTTTGTTTAGAAGTGGAGTACCTAAGAAGTGTGTCGATCCTCAAAGAGTTGTGTCGTCATACCTCAGATCAGCTTAGAGTCTATGGCCAGCTTTTGCCACCCTTTACCGTCTCCAGTGGAGTTCGACAAGATTGCCCTATATCCTCATTCCTTTTCAACTTCGCCATAGAGGATGTTCTACAGAATGTTTTGTCCAGTCTAGCAAACGGTGGAGTCGAACTCCTCCTAGGGAACAGAGTTCTTGACTTAGAATATGCTGATGACATCGCCTTGTTGGGTGACAATGTACAGGCAGTCCAACAAGCTTTACACCACTTGGCGATAGAGGTATCCAGGTATATTATGTGCTTTTCACTATCAAAGTGCAAAGTACTTGTTTAATGCTGGTAGGAGTCTGTCTGCACTTACTCTTTCTGGCGATCAGATAGAAATAGTCGAGAGCAGAAATCAAAATGTCTGCACACAGTGAAATCAACCATTATGGTCTTGGAAGGTCCACTACAACTTCAAAGAAATTTAAGAGACCTGGAAAATAGAGAGACACTGGACCTCCGTCTCACTGCGTTCAGCGACAACTGAGCGAGATCTAGGAGCCATAATCTCTGCATCAATGAAGATGCAGACGAACACCGTGCAAGCATGTTCTGCGGCAAGGAGTGTTCCAGGTGCAATCCGTCGATCCTTAGACGGTCTGTCACTCAGAGAGAGTTGAAGAAATTGTTTTCGGCTTTGGCTTTTGTCGGGCTCCCTCGGCTGGAGCCTCAAGGATTCCGATTGAAGTTCGCTGTAGACACCTTGGGATATGGCACCAAAGTGAAGTCAGTGGTGTAAATGTACTCTTTTCTGTATGCAGCCCCAAAATTAAAAGAGGATCTTAACCCCGACTCAAAACTGATTACTTTTTGTTGTGCTTCTATATTGTTCTTTCAGTCCATCATTATTTTGACACTGTGTGAAAATTGGTCTCACAGGGGCGTATGTATACATGTGTATATGAAAAACATTGTCCAATTCCACTCCAATTCTTTATTCGCAATCCTTATATCCCATTTGAATAGGCTGGCAATTATGCCATGGATAACAAATTGCTCAAGTACGGAGCGAAAGACCACTTCTTCAAGGCCACCATTTGTCATTTTTGTGTCGACATTATCAACGGTCAGAAAGCGCTCCAATCATACATGGAGGCATTCCCGATGTTTGCGGATTCACGTGAATGTGCCCTGATGAAGGTGAGCATGCGTGTGTGTTTCTGCATTCTCATTTTCCCGT